TATGGGGTCCAAGGTGCCGTGGGATGACAGCAGAGAGTGGGAAATTCAGAGGGGTCAAATGTCACAAATGCACTCCTTTGGGACTGTTTGAGCAAGCATGTGTACACATGACATGTGTTTTACAGTAGATCTTGGCTATGTGCTCAGCAATGGAAGAATAATTCATAAGTTCAGACATTCTTCCATTCCGACACTTTGAAAACCCCCTGTAATTGTGTGAGCCTTATGATTACAGCCATTAGGGAGACCATTAGTAAATGAAGGTGGAGATTTCAATCGTGAAATGCAAACCTAGTTTCATGTATTAATTGCTTCTAATTAAGGAAGAACATTTTAGCCAATTAGCTTTTGGAATTTAGGTGTAATCAAAAGGAGAATTCAGAGATTTGCTAATTGCTTCCCTCACTGCCGCTGTTTGCTTTAGCACAAACATTTGCTGGGTGTGCAGGGCAGTGCACACGCTCCTGGAAGTGCAAGACTCAGAGGTTCTTTGGCTCCAACAGATGTGTGGATGGCATTGCCCCCGTCCTCCCGCCGTGTCTTTGAAATTAACACATAAAAACAGGGGAAGACGAAGACAAGGGAGTCACAAACATCAGATTACTCTCAATGGTCCACCTTGATTGCTGTGGGTATTGGCTTATGTTAGTCAAGCCATAGTGATTCTCCCGGTTACAAGGAGTCGAGGGTCCCTGGCAGCTTTAACCTTCCATGAGTCAGACATCTTAGTTCCTGGTAGCCTGCCATGGTGCTAAGCCTGGTGGGAACTGTGTGGAAGTGCAAAAATGCCCATCACAAGAAGGGCAATGCACCTCAGAGTTCAAGCATGAAGGGTCACCTCCCACCTTGCAGACCAGGGTTTTGGCCAGCTTTCGACATTGCTTCCAATCATCGTCAGTATTGCCTCCTGGTTTGGCCTGTCTTTGAAGTGTGTTGATCTTCTTTTTCCATATGTTGGCCTTGTTTTCTGCTCATCTGACCTGTTCCTCTCTGATGGTGCTTCTTCAATCCCGGTCTGCAGCAGAGGGATCTCTTGCTGTTCTCTGTTCCTGCCTCGTCTTGCTTCTCCTCTGGCTGCAGAAGCTTCCAACGACAGCCCATCTGCCTCTGCTGCCGGTTCTCATTTGTAACTACCAAGAGGAGTCGTTGGCATCTCAGCTTGGGCTTACTCCTACAGCCCTCATTATTATATAATAACTCACCAGTCAGAACTTGCTCATCAAGTCTTCCTCTATCTGCATATTTTTTTCCTTTATACAAATAAAACAGGCTATTGCCTACCCACCCCACCCTGCTTTCAGGGAGAACACAAGCTGTTGTCCGTTGCATGTAAAGATGTTGTCGTTGATAGAGACGTTTCCTGCAGTTGCTCTTGCTTGACTTTATTGTTGCCCTGACTGTGCCTGCTGACATCATGTGCTGGCACCCTCAGATGAATTAAGATAACACTTTCCAGGAAAATGGAGAGTGGTAGAGCTTCCCAGACACTGCTGCTCGCCGAGGTCCAATTCTGTTTTAGGGAAAGGACTGTGCATCTGTCTATGCAGGGGTGGTTCTCTCGAGTAGTGTGCCCAGCTTTTTGGCTTTGCAATGTGACATTCTGGTCTGTGAAGTTCATGCTGGAGACCTGCACAGACAGTCAAATTACTCATGTGACTCTCAAATAATCTCCCAAAAAAGTTCTGTTTCAAATTGATGGATTTTGTTTGTTAGCCTTCCTTGGCTGGGTGAGGCTGCACAGACACCTGCAGCATGTAAGCTCTGTTCCCTTTGCTTCAAGAGGGAACCCCTACAGAGAAACCTCCAGTCAGTCACGGCAAGTGGAAAGTCCCAGCTGTGCCATGTCAATTATGATTTGGGTCACCTACATTCTACACACTCCTTTTTGTAACAGAGCCCCAAGTCCCTCTGATCTGAACAGACTAGAGTATCTCTCAGAGATTTATGATGATGGTTGTTCTAATTTCCTGGCAGGAAACCTATGCAGAAAATGGTATCTAACACATCCTGCATCATGACTATGTGTGCGATTAAACAGACTCGTGCTTACAGTATGTTCTCATTATGTACAACCTTCATTAAGAGCAATTAAAACCTGGCCAAAGTTCTTTTCAAATGATTAGTAGACCCATTTCTTCTTTTTGGGAGGTCAGTTACCAAAAACAAAACAACTGTCTTTCTATCAGTATGGCTGGTGCCTGGAGTTCAGAGGCCTGGAGCTTCCCAGTTGTTGTAGTTGTTGTGGAAAGAAATAGAAAGAAAGGAAGAGAGGGAGAGAGAGAGAGCAGCCAGAAAGAGAGAAAGGGGGAGGAGAATGAGCGGGGAGAGGAGAGGAAAGAGAAAAAGAATCCTAGGTTCTGAATAAAGATGGCAGATCTTGCTACACAGTTTAATTAAAATCTTGTCCCAGGCCAACGTGATTAAAAATGAAGTTACTTATCAGCTATACATCAATTATAAAACACAAAACTAGCTGACAGGATGGCTCAGCAAGTAAGTAAGGTGTCTGCTGCCAACCCTGAGGTCCTGAGTTCTATCCTTGGGCCCATGTGGTAGGAGAGAACTGACTCTCACAAGTTGTTCTCTGACCTACATGTATACAGTAAATGTAAAAATAAAGTTAAAAACTTAAAACTGGCCTTTAAACCCAGTTCTCAGAGTTGAACTCTGAGTTTGAGATTAATTTGATCTACAATGCAAATGCCAGGACAGCTAGGGCAGTTATACAGAGAAACCCTGTCTCAAAAACAATACAAAACAAAACAAAAACAACAAAAAAACAAACAAACAAAAAAAACCAAAATGAAACAAATAATCAAAAATTAAACTGGATGGTGATCAGCCGTCATCTTGTGGAACAAAGCCCATCTCCATGAAAGCTTCTGTCAGCTTGGTTCTCATTAATGAAGTATTTCCCATGATCAGATCTGGAGAGTCCACATTCTCCTTGACCTGAATTCTGGAACCAAGTTAGCATTGCTTATGAAATTCATTAAAGACGGGCTTATGAACAGGCCACTAAGTTTATCAGAAGGAGAGAAGATACAGTTGTAAAGACATAAAAAATAGACTTTTTTCCCTAGATAGTGTCTATTATGGAGGTCATTGTATTAACTGAGTATTTGATTCCATGGTGTGTGTGTGGACTCGTTCTCATGCATATGCACTTTTGCAACGCTCCAGAGTTGTTTCTCAGGAACAACACTTGGCGTTTTACAGCAGGTCGTTCACTGATCAGCTAGGTTGCCCAGAAAGCCCCGGGGATCTTTTTGTCTCCACCTCCTCAGCACTGAGATTGCAAGCACAGTGGGGGTATCTGGCTTTTCACCCGAGTCTTGGGGATTGAACTCAGCTCCTCACACAGGCGATGTAAGCCCTTTTCTGACTGAGCATCCCTCTAGCCCCGCCCCAGCTTTCTGAGATGGGAATCAGGTCCAGGGTAGGAGAGTCACTGTGGAGTGTGTGGGATGTGGTTGATCCCATCCCCACTCACCGGTGGACCAAGATGTCACCACATCCTTGACATTCAGATACTACCATCAGGGAGCATTCATATTTCACTTATAGAGGACACAGGCTTCCAGCGTTGGCCAACTGGATGCTGGAAGTCTCTAGGCAGGAAGGTTAAGCAGGCAGAGGGTCCCACATCCCCTGTGTTTTTTATCACAGGCCTACAGCCTCTGCTGAGACCCTACTCCCAGCTGTGTGCAGCAGAATGCTGGGAAGGGAATTCCTCTGCCTGGACTCCCAAATGTAAATGCCAAGTTCACGGGTCTTGACTCTTTCCCACAGAGGAACATGTGTTTTTGTGGAAAGACCACACAGACGAGTTCTGTTGTTTCCAGAATCTGGCCTGCGCTGGCCATTCGGCCTGAGTTGCATTAGGGAACCAAGGGCCACATCCGCCTGGAAGGAATTTAGAGATTGTTCCTGCTGGTGCTAGACTCCAGGGCTTCCCTCCCACAGGCTCTGATTTAGTGGGTCTGGAGCAGCGCTGGATTCCAGCTTTTCCAGCAAGCTTCCAAGGCATGCTGATTCATGGACCACACTTGAGTAGCATTGGCCAAACACTTTCTTGTCTTAAGAGGGACTGGCAGGCTTCTTCCTAAAGGCCACAGAGTAAATGTTTCAGGGTTTTCAGGACAATCACCATTGCAAACAGCATTAATTCGTCCATTAGAGTGTGAAAGCAGCCATGAACAGTGTGTGTAGACACAGATATGGCCATCTCCTGACAAATCCATACACAACCAGGAGGTAGTCTCTGCTGCAGCTGGCTGACTTCCCACATGCTTTGGATGGTTTGAGCCTTCCTGGCCTCTCATTTATAGTTGCAAAACACAGGTGATTAAAAAACAGGGTCATTAAGCCAGTAGTGGCACAGGGCTTCTCCCAGCACTTGGGAGGCAGAGGCAGGTGGATCTCTGTGAGTTTGAGGTCAGCCTGGTCTACAGAGTTACAGGACAGCCAGTGCTACATAGTGAGAACCTGTTTTGGACAAATAAAACAAAACAACCAAATAGGGGTGTTGTTTCTAGTCATATTTCCCTCACGAATGAGGACAATGATGAAATCATGTCAGTGACTACTCAGAAAACAACTAAAAAATAACCCTGTACTAGGTCAGTTAGTATTGGTGTCTTATATTTAAAATGCTTCAAATTTTTAAATCGTGTCTCTATGTGTGTCTGTGTGTGGGCATGTGTATGTGTGTGCAGTGCCACTAGAGGCCAGAAGAGGGCATCAGACCCCGCCCCCAGCTGGAGTTATAGTTCTGAGTGGCCCTCTACAAGAACAGATCCAGACTTGGCCTTACATATTTCCTGAGCTCAGGTACAGAAAGGTAAGAAAGGGGAGCGCTCACTTAAAAGGGTCACTGAGGAACTTTCTCAGTGTCCATAAAATAAACACAAATGGCTTCCACAAGGCTAGCAAGAGGAGACGAATGGCTAGGAACTTCTTACATGTACACTTTAAGGAACATTCTAGAAACAAGCACATAAACCAACGAGTTATATTATCTTTATTCATGTTAGAATTTCTATCAGTGTTTGAACATTAATATTTAGAGAGTTTTGTACATTTTCATCTGAGAACTGTAACCAGGTCACAATGCTCACATCAACACTTCCCAATCACATGGATAGCTGCTCTCTTGTACTCTCTACACTGTTAAACATTTCCTCTTCCTTGCTGTCATTTACAACGAAAAGTTTCCTCACACTCATGTCTCAGCAAAGTTCCAGACATTATGGATTTTATTACATATAAATTCTTTAAAAATATACTTCTGTCAAAAGACTTGATGACTACTATGTACACTACAAAAATAAATTTTCATATAAATAAATTATATGGCATACTTTCATCTTTGTAATTGAAATGACACAAACTCATTTCCACCCAATTTGGCAGACAACGAGACCCAGTTTGAATATTTATTTCCTTTAAACTCCTTACACTAAAACCTACCATGAGTCCTTAATGTAAATGTTATATACTCTGAACTATTTAACATTAGTAAGCACTCTATACAAATAAAACTTCTGTTCAAAAGTAAAACATAACTGCAATAGTGTTTCCAATAGAAATAAAATCCCTGCATTTTTTTTTTTTTGTTGTTGTTGTTGTTGTTATAAACTGGCATGACAGATTCTGGAGGACATTCTTATGATACAAAATTATAAATATCAGCAAAGATCTTTTCTTTTAAAAATTAAAACATCCAAATGAACAAACAATACAGACAAAATAAAACTATGAGGAGACAGACAGACAGACAATACATACACTCCGAGACTGTAGTCTCCTGTCAGCTCTGTGTCCTTCCTGCCTTGGCTGATGCAATTCCTGACGCACAGAAACCCAACGGCTGTACGAACTTCCTTACTCCGTGAATGAGGCTCAGGAGTAACTGGACACAACCAAGAATTGCAAGGAATCGGCTTCAGAATTTTACATCTCCCTTCTGAACTCAGGGTGCGAGCTATCTGAGCAGAGCTGGTTTTGGGTAGGCAGACAGTGGCTTGACAGGCATTAAGACAGTAGCAGTGGGTGGCCAGGGCCTCTGGCATATTTACACACACACACACACACACCCCACATGGTAGCCACTGGTGGCTTCCAATTAGTACCTTATAGTTTGGGGATGAGTTTTACGGTCTGAGGTCACTAGACTGCTGGTATTACTAGGGGCCCATTGCCTTACAAACTTCCATGCAGAATAGGAGGGCTGAACAAATGTCAAGTGCACTCCTCAAAGTAGCTTCCATGGACACTAACTTCCTTCCTCTGACACAAATCCTCAGTGTTCACTCACAAAGGAGGATATTGCTTCCCCATCTACTAGTCTCTGGCCAGAGGCAAAGAAACCTAACCCTCAGGGAAAGAAAACAGGATCAAATTTTAATATCTAACACCTGGTTCAAAGAGCTTCTTCTATACACTTCTATGAGGTGGCACTTTACTGATCTCGCATGGACATCACACTGGGTGAATTCTAACAGTGGAGAAGCGTCTTCAGAAGCTCAGACCTCTCATAGTTGACTTGCTCTGCCATCGGCATGCGCCAACCAGGCAGTCAATTTATTGTGAGGGATTCAGATTTGTAAAGGATTGAGCATAGATCTTGAATGAATTAGATTTTTCTGCCTGCATCTGGGTTACGGGGGTGGGAGGCTGTGTGTATGTGCCGGTTATCAGAAAGGTACAATACCACACTTCCCTTGAGTGTCATCTCATGATCCGTCTGAGATTCACCACCAGTGAAGACTGCTGGGTCCATATACAGAGGCCCTAACACTCAACATTATGATCTATGAGAATGTGTTCTCTTTGAAGCACGAGGGGAAGTCCCTGGAGGGCTACCTATGATCTCAGGAGCTGCCGCAGGCATGAAGCCAAGTTTGGCTTCTCTGGACTATTTCCAGAGAATAAGACACATGACAGGTCCACCCTTCCACCAGCACCAAGACAGAAAGAGACCTTGACTTTCCCAACTTGACTAGGCCAGATGGAGCTAAGGTCACATGAAGCAAAGAGAAACAAGAAAAAGAACAAAACAACAGCAAAATCACAGTACAGTACATTGGGAAATCACACACTCACATACACACCCATGAGAACTGCATAAAACTACCCCTAGAGAAGCCACCGGGATTAATCTGTTTTCTTCATGTCTGCTCGTTAAACAATTACCACGCATAGCGTGTTCGAAAGTTAACAGTAACATTTCATCCTACCACAGGGTTGTGATATGCAAATTTAAAATATTTTAGACAGAAACCTTTACAAATAATCCTATTACATAAGCAATATTTGCATAGAATTATACAAGTAAATTATACAATATTTAAGCAGCAGCGACATATGCTGGGGGGGGATTTTAAAAACTAAGTTAAGCTTGTTTGCGGCACAGGGACCAATGTACACAGGGGGAGGGAACCCCTGTGGTCTCCCCACTCGGGGGCAGGAGTGGAGAGGCCCCAGGCCATAGACTTTACAGCATTTCCATGTATATTACATGTGTACACCTCTTAAATATTTATAGAAATATTTCACAAAATAATACAATCAATTACAGTAACAATGAACTGCTTTCCCATAATTCCAAAGCAGTTCTCTTCAAGCAGTCAGTTCTGGAAAGAGGTGGGGGGCGGGGTTTTTTTTTCCAATCTTTGGCCTCTTTGCTTCAGATTTTAATTACCCTTTAAAAGAAAACAAAAAAGGAAGTCACATCACGGTCACGACCAGAGAGCCGTGCACCTCTCATGCAACACAGCCCCTTAACTCCGAGGGGGCACTGAGAACACAGAAACTCTACAATGGGCTGACTGTGGCTCTAAATTCGTTTCATCTATTTCTGCCTTGCAAGGTCATTGGCACACTTGTTAGAACTGTGCTGCAAGTGGTGGGCAAACAGGTACAACAAGGTAGAGCTGTTAAACCAAGTAAAAGATTACTAGTGAAAGGAAAAGAAATCCAGTTTGGAACTGCACTGGTTTGGCCACATCAGCCTTGCCTGGGGAGAAAAGGTCCCCCCCCAGGGTCCAGTTTGGGATGCGCCAGTGCTCAGGGAACCCTGGAAAGCACCCCGGGGGCACATGGGTACACACCTCAGTCAGAGCTGCTCCCCCAAGGCCTCTCCTCACACCCCACGTCCTGAAGCTCTATGGCTTCCACCTTGGAGTCTCTCCTCTCGCACCTGACATGGAAAGGCACATGGGGGTCCTGGAACACCCCATGGTCAGTCTCAGGGTAGCTCTCATAGCCCGGACAGGGCCCCCCTCGGGGGTTGCGCCCAGGTCCAGGTGGGGGGTGCACAGCGACAGTCACGGAGGCGGAAGCTGTCACAGTGGTGATGGGCTGGCCGTAGCTGGGCACAGAGCTGCCCATGGCAGTGGACGTTGGGTTCCGAGGGTTGTAAGAACGGGCCCCGCGGGGGCCTGAGCGGTCCCTATTGCTAGGGCCAGAATGCCCTTCAGTAGAAATTTCAAAAGCGTCTCTTCGCGGTCTATATGGGGGTGGCCGCAAGCCTTCTCTGGGGGGATCCCTTCGAGGCTGCTGGCCTTGTCGTCCAGGAGACAGGGAGCCAGAGTCCAGGTGGGGCTGCTGCCGAGGATTCAAGGGAGGGTGATGTCTTGATTCAGGATGGACCACCTGCAGAGGTGACACAGGTTAACGCAGGGAGGTAAGGTGGTGTCCTTCCAACCACAGAAGAAAACCCACTCCCCACCAGGACATGGATCTTCCTGCTACAACACAGCCAGCTGCAGGAACACAGCTCCACAGCTGCAGCAACATCCCAACAATGGCTTCACTGCCACAAACCCGCTACCCCACCCTGACCACTCTATGCAGACCCTAGGCTCTTTTCCTCAAGTGGCTAAGTGTTTGTCCGTGGCTGGTCAAGAGGCAGCGTGTATTGGTACATATGCAATCATATACAGTAGCTTTTAGAGATCTAAGGCTCCAGTTTCTAGGTCTTATAGCCTTGTTTCACCTGCTCCAACCTCAAGCCAGGTGTGGCCAGTAGCTAATGTACTGAAGAGCAGAGCTAAAACTTCTACCATCACAGACAGTTCTGTCAGACACTTTCGTCTCTGCCTGACCATTAGGAATCTGGTTTCTGGGTCTCTGTACAAAGCTCGAGCAACACAGTGGCCACATCAATCAAAAGGACCGTGACCAACTTCAAAGTCGTTGAGCTTGTACCTATTTTTAGGCTCCCGCTGAACAAAACCAGATTCACACTGCAGCTCAGCAGGGTATCGTCATGGGGTGGGGAGGGGCTTGGGGGACCACAGCCCAATTCACTGGCCAGCCACTCTCTCCTTCATGGAAGGCTGCTCTAGCCCGCCCGGGACTGGAATACACATTTCCTGTAAGGACGGTGGGGGCCTCAGGCGAGCAATGGGAACTTGGGAGCCTTCCTTGGCTCTTTAAGGCTGAGCATCTTGATTGGGGGCTACTGTGGGTAAGGAAGAGAGCCTGTCGATTCCTTGCTACCTTCAGAAATTGGTAAGAACTTGGGATGCTTCTAGCTTCAGTGAATCTCCAGCCATCTACAACAATAAGAGCTTGAAGCCACAAAGCTACGGGAAAACCTCAGACAAATAATTAAAATAATCCTGTCCCAAGGCCAATTAAAAGGTAATAGAGATGAGAAGAAAAAAAAAATTGCTTCTCATGTCAGTACAAAACACTACTCATTGTATTTCCTCACACACCATTCTGAAATGATAGGTGGGGGAAGAGGATGGAAAGGGGAAAGAAAAGGAGACTCAGGCCTGCCGCTGACTCCACTCTGAATAAGGGCAGGGCTGGATGAGCCCAGGGCTCTGAGTATTCTAGGCAAGCTATGCCTTCCTGTTTGCACTGCCAGTTCAATCCACAAGATTGAAAAGGAAGCATGTCATAGTTTACAAAGAATGACATGCTGGCAGTTTCCTGTGGTTTGACCTGATGTATAATTTTTTTTTCTTGCACCCATCTGTCGATGAGATCAGAGCAGCAGATCTCCCTGGACCTCCCCTAGACCTCCTGGACCACTGCCAGAGGAGAGATGAATCTTTCCCAGTCCCCTAGGTGACTGACTCACAGTGGACCGGGCAAAGACAGGGTTTTCTGTGGCTTCCACGATCACTTGGTGGCCAGGACCTCCAGAACCCTGCTGGGCCTCATAGTGCCTGAGCTCCTCGCTGATGCCCGACACTGTGGTCTGAGAGCTGTACTCCGAGTCAGAGGAATCAGACCCATTGTTCATGTGACCAGGAGGCACTGCAAATCGGACGACACTTGGGGGTGGCTCAGGCGAAGGAGTGGGCAGCCGGTTCAGGCCATTGGCTGGAGACACCTATTTAAGGACATTCCCAATTAAAAGTATTACATTCTTTTATCTGTTGGCCCATCTGAAAGTTCAAAGCCCAAAGTTATTCATCAGCCCCCTCCACCCGACAAAAGAACCCCACATAAATACTGCATCTACTCCCCTCTCCCTGCTACCTGGCAGACACTCAAGATGCACAAAAACAGGGCCCGTGTCTTCCAACACCAGAAAGGCAGGCTAGGTGTCCTTTACACCTTTAAGCCCAAACACTTATCTGAGGTAGAAAAACCTTCCTTTACATATATCCAAGACTAAAGTTGCCCATCAGCTCATCTGAAACAAGGTTTGCTCTATAGCCTCCAGCCTGAACTATCAAAGTAAAACAGCCATTGTTGCTGGATGCATACTGAAGAGGCCACACCATCAGCAAATACAGGAGCATCTAAATATCTCAATCAGGAGTGGCACTGGGGAAAGCCAGATGGCCTGTTGGGTGAACGTCTCACCCTGGCGATCACTGACCTCAGGACACGGCCCAAAGAAGGACAGGAGAACAGGCAGCAAAACGAGTCCGTTGAGAACCCCCAAGACGGTGAGGATCGCCAGGACAGCAAAGAAGTATCTGGAAGACAAAAGGGACGTGGGACCCGTCAGAGGTGCAAAGAAAGCATTCCACCCTCCAAGCACCCAAGTTTTATTCTGCAACCAAGAGCTCAGCTCAACAACCCAACTCCTCTGAAACAAGTCAGCCATGGAACCGTAGTTCAAACTTTTAACACAAGATTAGCTCGGGGTTTTGTTCTTTTTTTTAACGTTATGACTCCAAGGACTACATTCCACACACTGGAGTGTTAGTTCATGAAAGGGGGTGGGGGGAATTAGTTTGTTAATTTGCTGAAATCTCATGCCTGTAATGTTATTTATGAACGTGTTACACCAACACAGAAATATGGAATGGGAAATGAACGGCTGAACAACCTGAAAGCACAGATACAATACCGAGGGGCCCGGCTCACGAAAACCCAGCAGAAGCAAACAAATGAAGTGAAGGGTGTAGAATTTAAACAATTTGGCCCAGGAGGAAAAGCTGCCTGCTTCTGCAGGCTGCTAATCCACTGTGAAATGTCCCTGCCTCTTAGGGCAGAATCTCTAATTAAGACTCCAGCGCATCAGGTAAGGGTTTCCCTGGGCTTTCATTAATCACAACTTTCTGCCTGGAATTCTCTGGGTTCCAGTTTTACCAAATAGCTCCAATTGCAACCTTTTTAGAACACAGGAACCAGCCCTGCAAAGAAAGCGCTGCCCATTCTGTGGGAGCGGGGCATTGTGCGTGGCGAGGGCGCTCCACAATGGCAGGGCTGCTCCGCAGGCCAATCTTTTGTTGAACAATTTAGCATCTTTGAATACTCTTGTTTTGCGTCAGCCAATTCAAACATAAAGGCTGAAGCACCATGGCAGAAGAGGGAGAGTGAACAGCAAGTTCTGCGTTCCCACCATTGAGGGCTAAAGGTCTGGGATCTTTCAAGAATACCAAGGTAAACCTGTCAGCCAGGGCCCGCCTCTGGTCGGCACTCTGCACAGCTGGAGGGTGCACCCTCCACGCAAGGATGCTTTTCTGGAACTAATGATTTCTAGGGCTTTGATGGAACTGGGATGGGGGTGGAGGTGGGGTTGGGATGTTCTGGAAAGAAAAGAGGGAGGGCTAGATATCTGTTAATGGTCCCCTGGATCATAAAACTGAATGGCCATCCTACAATGCCATGTCTATGTATGTTTTGACATTAGATGAAAGGAGAGAGAATCCCTATAAAAATACAAATACCTCACAGCTATTGTAAACACTAAAACCCGCTGAGCTGCATTAGTAAAAACCCAAGCCGCCAATGTCTTGGTCTAACATAAACTGTGGAACTTTTGGTGGAGGCATATATCAGCGGCAGGCATTAAGACATTTGCATCCCATCCATCTAGCTGTAACATAAACAGACCAATTAGACTTCTGACGGCTTCATGTATACAGTGTCTGCTCATTTATTTGACTCTGGTGAGGACTTTATCCATCCTATTTTAGAAAATGGGAAGCCCTCCTAAGTGCTTGAAACAGGAACCCCGATATCTCCCGGAACGAATGAGTAGCCCCAGCTAGGACGATGTGAGGGGCTGGGCTCTGCTCTGTGGAGTCCTTTGCAAAGCTCTGTGCTGGCTCCTCGGCTAACCTGTAAGATCCCAGCATACCCTGCATTTATTTCTCTTGGCTCTGAATTGCCTGGGGAGGCTTGGTATCTCCCAATCCCAGCAGACTATAAGCCACATGTCAGAGTAGGTTATGTGCTATTGCCAGTAGTCACAAAAATGACACTCATGAGGCACCTTTGCGTTGGAAGAGCCCAGAGACCATGCCAAAGCAGTCCCAATTGGTATTGAGCTTTTTGCCAGAAAGACAAAAACTAGTATCTGTTTAAGAGTGAGCAGAGGAAATAAATGCCAAATACTCAAACCAGCATCTAAGTTAAGCCATCTATCTCACCAGTTTTTAGCAAAGGAGAATCTACTGATCACTTTACTGACTTATCAAGAGGCTGTGTGAAGACTAGCATGCTTGGGCTCACCTGACAGCAACCTGGAAAGGCTTCTGTTAATCTGTACTTTAATAGCCCCAGAAGATCAGGAAGCATGTTATACAGAGTGCAGGTCTACACTGAAATGAGTCAACCTCTGCTGTTTACTCTACCCTGTCAACCATACCCACATTCCAGAAAGCCCTGGGAGTTTGGCTGCCCAATGGGCTATGCCTCAAGATGGACCCTTCCGTTTTCCTCCCTTGGTAGTGGGGAACAAACCCACTTGCCCCATGCACCTTAGGCACATACTTGCTGTGTCACTGAGCTACACCTCCACTGTAGCTAACTTTTGCGTTAATCTTCAGCTAAAACCTCTAGCTGAAACTCCTCTTTTTATCTGAAAGGGTAAGCTTCCCTACTTGGCCAGCCCTTGTGTGTACACATGTATACACATGTAAAGCTTGATTATAGCCAGATGTGGTAGCATATGCCTACAATTCTAGCACTTAGAAAGCTGAGGCAGGACAGACAGCAGTTCAAAGCCATTCTACATCACAAGTTTGAGGCAAGCCTGGGCTACACCAGACCTGTTTCAGAAACAAACAATCCCCCAAACACCCAACCCCTTAAAAAGGTTTCTCTGTGTAGCTTTGGAGCCTGTCCTGGAACTCGCTCTGTAGCCCAGGCTGGCCTCGAACTCACAGCGATCCGCCTGGCCTCCCGAGTGCTGGGATTAAAGACCTTCTCCACCAACACTCGGCTAAAAAGCATTTTCTGATCTTCTTCACACTTTCCTGCACAGTAGTGTTTTTCCTAAAGAGTGGTCCGGGGAGCAGCCAGACCATACAGGAGTTCTAGCCCAGACAGCAAAGCACAGAGCAGCCCTGGTTCAAAGAGTACCAATAAAAGAGAAACCAAACAATGCTCCCCAGAACAGCCCGACTGGGTCATCTCCCCAGACATGGAGAACCATATACTCTCTGGATCTACCTTATTCTAAAGATGTACTAATATCTTACACACTGAGGACACTGGTTTTGCCTTTTTGCAATAGATCATGGTTTTACACCCAGGAGCAGACACCTAGTGAAGACAACAGCACCACTGAAAGAGTATCCTTTCTTTCTTGTTCCAATCTCTAGATTTTTTCAAAAGAAAAACTCACCTGGCTTTTGCACTTTGGGAAGTCACCATCTTAACCACACAAGTAGCAGAACCCTGCCTTGTGATCCAAAGAGGAGTGCACAGGCCAGGCTTGGAGTCCCTGAATCTGACCCTGAAGTCTGATGTTCAGCACTGATGATGTCTCAGAAGGGACTCAAACACAAAATCTGGGTACACTGTACTCATTTCCTGTGTGAAGTGTACAGCTAGGTGCCTATACTGCAGATGAGCTAAGTTTTTTTCTTTCTATAGTTTTTTTAAGGCAGGGTCTCATGCATCCCTGGCTGTCCTCAAACTTAATGCATGGACAAGGACTGGAACTGCAGAGATGAGCCTCCCACACAGGTTTTATGGGGTGTGGGAGACACAAGCCAAGGCTTCATGCATGCCTAGCACCCCGCTGAACTACATCTCCATCCCTTCCCACAGTCCTGGAGAAGAGAGAACCAAAGCTGAACACAGTCATCTCTCTGCAAAAGTTTGAAACTGGAATCTCAACACTCCGGATGCCAGGTGACTCTCTAGCTTCAAGCCGTGGAGCTGCCTTTACCCCTCATGACTTCCAAGATAACTCCAGACCAGGAAGCTTCTAAGAGAGCTCATCTGTAGGCCTCAGGTAGGCTGAGATGCTGCCACCTTGCCAGATAGAGGAGTGAGCCAGGAAGACTACACGAGCAAGCAAAGACTTTCAGATTAAGCCTCCTATTCCACTTCCGCTTACCTGACAATGAAATCAAATTCGGACCCTGCAAGCATCAGTACGCCCAGCAGAGTGGACACAGCACCGTCCAGAACAGGAGCGAACATGTGCTCCAGGGCAAGCATAGCCCTGTGGTTCTTGTCACCAATGGCTGTCAGAAAGGCCTGAGCAAAGGAAGAATGGAGATGGTCACATTCCTGGACTGTATGTGCTCAAGTGCTCAGCTCTGTCTACACTTGAGTTTTGGTGGTTTTCTCATGGGTCTTAGGCTGGCCTCAAACTCACTATTGTTCAAGAATGACCTCAAACTTAATCCTCCTGGCTCCACTTCTTAGAGAGCTCAGGTGTGCTACCCATGCCTGGTTTTCATGGGTCTTAGGCTGGCCTCAAACTCACTATTGTTCAAGAATGACCTCGAACTTAATCCTCCTGGCTCCACTTCTTAGAGTGCTCAGGTGTGCTACCCATGCCTGGTTCCATGTGGTGCTGGGGATAGAGCCTAGCGCCTCCTACAGGCAAGGCTAGCACATTACCACCCTACAAGTCATTCTTAAGCTCATGTGGGTGGGTGGAGTCACCTCAAAGAGACCACTCTATTATTAGGAAAAAAAAAAGACATCATCTAAAATGTAGCAACAAAGCCAAAAGGATGACTTTTTAATTTTTTTTTTTTTGGTCATAATAAAGCATTGTGTATTTGGTCTTCTGAAAAAAAAATATGTGTGCGGGTATTTTGCTTGCATGTATGTATCATGTATGTCTGTGCACCATGTGCTTGCCTGGTGCCTGCAGAGGACAGAAAAGAGGACAGGAGATACACTGGAGCTGGAATTACAGGCAGTCCTGATGTTATGATAGCTAGGCAAGCCTTCTACCAACTGAGCTGAAGTCTCAGCCTCAGGTCTACATGAAATACGGGATGCTGTCTCTACCTTTCTCTCCCAAGCATAGGTTCAAGATTTTACTGGTTAGCTCCTAGAATTGTTTACTTGGTTTTACTACAATGCCCTGTTCATATTATTGGGCCATAGTTAGTAATGATACATATCTTGAACAAAACCCAAAGCATGATGGCTTATAATCCTGACAGACAGGTAGGTCCCTGGACCCTCCTGATCAGCCAGCCTAGCTCTAGGCCAGTGACAGACTCTGTATCCCAAAATGAGGTGAATGATGCCTCAGTAACAGTGTTTGTTACCCCACGCCCAGCCTCTACAAGCATGTGTGCGTACACACACACACACACTCTCATACACAATTGTAAGATACCGTTCCTAAACGATCATATTACTAAGAGCTTCAAAACTTCCTTCCCAACACCCAAGTCCACAACCTGTGAGTGCAGTGACAGCTCCAAAGGCTACAGAAGACCCACACCATGTGCTAAGCTCCAAGAACAAGGCTGGAACAGCGATGCTGACATCACTTGGTTCAGGCCAAGAGCTGAGTTTCCCAGCTTGAGCATTCCAAACACCAGCATCTTACTCAGTCAATATGTATTTACTGAAAGCCTGTTAATAGCCCCAGGTACTCAGGATGTGAGCACATCTGCAGGCAAAAAGCAAACTGCACAACTCCTCAAGGTTTTCGACTAAAATTTTCTCATCGATGTGTATGGCTGGCTCATCTTTTGGATTCTAGACTCTCTTTCAGGTTAGGTTCTCCCAGCACAAGTCAGTGTGTAAAGAAAAGGGGGCCAAGGTTCTAGTGAAAGCGTCCCTGTGTTCCCTTGTTTTCTGCTGCCATGGATGCCTGCAGAAGCTGGGAGGTCTCCAGAGCTGGGTGGGCTGAGGTGGAAGAGCAGGCTCTTCAGGGCTTTGCACCCAAGAGAGCTTTCATTCACAGGCCTGAGGGTATTTCTGTGGTTGCCAGCTCACCTCACCTTCAATTATGCTATCCCCACCAAGCCTCTGAGGGTGGTCTTGCTTTATCCCCAAATTATGACTGTACTTAAAACTGTGTGGGTATTTGCCTAAACACACAGAATGTCTTGGGACAACGATGACAACTTCAAGACAGGAGTGCTACCAGTCAAAACACAGTATTAATGTGCTGAGTCCTTAGAGTCCTGACACAATGAGGTGGTTTGCAGTCATTTTTACTCTACATGTCTCTTATCTAGGACTCCCCAAGAGATTAAGAACCCCTAAAACAAACAAACAAACAAAACAAACAAACAAACAAAGAACCCCTAAAACATTCCCTGGTCCCTTTGCCCTGTCAGTCAATTTCCCCTAAGGACCTCCCATACCAAAGCCACGTGGACGGTGAACTCCACTCCAATGCCGACAGAAGCAATCAGGATGACCACAGGCACAGCACTCAGCTTGATTCCAATGAGGCCCATCATGCCGAAGAGCTCAACTGTCATCAAAGCCAGGACCATGACCTTGAAGAAAGCACACGACAATTAGTTAAATTGGCACAAGGTAGCCAGGAGTGGCAAACGGTGCAAATCAGCAATCCCAATGTGGCTTTGTTTTGTTTGAGTTAGAGAACAACAATACACCTGTCACCTACATACCATGAGAAAGTACTGACTTCCTTTACCTCTGGACTACTGCACATTTCAGCCTCCTGCTGGAAGGGAGATGTTAGGACCACTTACTGTCAGGCTAAAACAGGTGTTTGCGAAGGCAAAGTTTAGGTGTGTGTGTGTGTGTGTGTGTGTGTACGTGTGGAAGCTAGAAGTAAAGTATGGTGTGTTCTCTGGAGCCTCCGCTGAGGAGACAGGTTCTCTCATTGAGACCTGAAGCTCACTGATCAGGCCTGGCTGGTCAGACCTCCTATTTCTGCCCCGATAGTCACACATCACCACACCCAACTGTGCTGGGCAGCAAGTGCTTTAATCACCTAGCTATCTTCCTATTCGTCAGTTTAGTACTCTTAGCAAATTATTTTTCTAATATTCCTACCCTAGAAAGGGAAAAAGAGGAAGGGACCACACCCTGGAGCCATCTATGAAGAGGTACACTATCAGAGTCTAGTCTTTTCCCATGTCTATTTCATCAGAAACACAGTTACTAGTGTAGGTTTTTGGGTGTGGTCAACGGTACCTCTAATCAGGGTTTCTCCCTACATACTAGAGATAATTCAGAGTGATAGAAAACAGGGGTCGGGGAGGGGGAATGCACACAGGCCGCACTCGAATTCAGTACTACTGCCTTAATATACCCAACTTGAGCCTCGGGGGACCTGGTACGCAGGGGTTCCAGAGCCAATAACTAAGACAACTTCAGGTCACAACAAGGCTTTAACCTTAAAAACACCATAAAGTGTCCTACAACTCCTTAAGTTCATATTGCAGTGTTTTTCATTGTTAGAGGCTGCAGCCTAAAGAAAGCTGACAGGGTAAAGGAACTGTGCTTTGGTTGGAGAGCCTACAGACTAAAGGAAGAGACTGGGGCTAGGCCACTGGCAGACATGTGTTAGGTTACCGGGGCCTTTGTGCTTTTAAGAGATGGGAAGCAGCTGGGATCCACATAGCGGACAGACCCTTGGGTTTAAGGAAAGGCATCAGAGCCTTTCATCTTTCTTGTAAAATTGTGTGGAGAACAGTAAGGGAGACTTCGGAGTTTCTTGGGCCAAGGAGGAGAGAACTGGTTCACAACCAAAGAGGTTCTTGTGTGAACCTCCCCCACATGAAGGAAGGAAAGAAAACCACCTTTCCTGCTTGGGGATAGAGCGGTGGGTGGTGGCAGAGGCTGGGGAGAACGGTGAAAGATGGACACCATCCATGGCTTAAGTGCTGTGAAGGCTTCTGCAGACTAAACATTTACCTTTCATGTACCTGTCACCCAGACTCACCAGAGAAACAAAACCTGTTTTTATAATTCTGGCGTTTTAAAGGCTATACCACAGTTTGTGGAACTTAAACAATGCCAGGATTTCAGGCTACACGAGACTCACTTCAAATCTGAAGGTAGTTTGGAGGAAAGATGCTCCAAACTGGCTATGAGAGGCAGCTTAGTTACAGCAAACACCATGCACAAAGAGCCCACATGTCATCCCGGCCCCTGCATCTGCCTGAACTTCTCTGTGCATGCTTCCCCATAACGCACAGAAGAACCCGCCACACATTATCAGGACTGGGTAGTACGAGGCCACAAAATAAGACTTTAGAATTGGAAAATTAGTTATGCATTGGTTATTTTTCTTTACTAAGATTTTAGTGCCTTTATGCAGTGTGCTCACAAAGCCTCCTACCTTACACATGCACATTTTAATGCTGTGTGAGAGGGACACAGATTCCGGCCATTAGAGGCTCTACCTTCCCCATGAACCTCACCACCTCCAGTAGAATAAATATCTTACAGATGATGCAATCTATACTCTCCCCCTCCAAAGGCCCAGACATAAACAAAACTTCCCGGCTGCAGAAAGAGCTATGCCGAAAGGAATCTGACTTCCATAAAGACCCTTATAGTAAACTCACAATGATCCCAGCCGTCCAGGGGTTCAGCAGGAAGACCGCACACACTAGAAACGTGCAGGCCAGCACCACACTGATGGCTAGCAGCAGCCAGTGTCGCAGGCTGATGTACTGCTCCCAGAAGAGGAAGGGGTAGCCGTTGGGATAGCTGGACAGCCCTAAGCTCGTGTAGTTGTTACAGATGACTCTCACTTTTTCAATGGCTTCCACAAAGTCCGAGGTGTCTCGCAGGCCGTTGAGGTAGAAAGGGAACTGAGCATACTCAATGGGCTCCGCTGCTGGGACTGGACAAAGCACAAGTGAAGTGAGTGAGGGCCCTCCGTGAAGAGCCTCCTTGTCCCAACTCCCACAAGTTCATCCAACGATGTCCCACAAGTTCACTCATTACCTTTCTTCCAAAAAAAAAAAAGGATAAACAAGTGATTCTGGGCCTTTACACACAGTTGGAGCTTGTTTAAGATTTCTCACTTACAATCCATTGTTTTCACTGTGTGTGGTTGTGTGCACAAGCACACACGCGAGATAATTCATTCAGGCACATGTGTGGAGGTCAGAGGACGACCTTGGAACCCAACCTTCTTCTACTGTCTTAGTGAAAAGTCTCTTGCTGTTTGCCATTGCGCATTCCAGGCTAGCTAGCCCCGGAGCTCCCAGGAATATTTCCCATCTCCCCCTCTCCACCCCGCCATCTTGCCTTACGTACTAGGATTACAGATACGCTACCACACCCAGCTTTATGTGGGTTCTGGGGATTCAAACCCAGTCCTCATGCTTGTGTGGCAAGCTCACTACCCATTGGGCTATCTCCTGAGCCCAGAATCAACCCTTGGATTTGTATTTGGTGGTAGTGAGGGAGTAAGAGTGAGGTGTGCAGTGGTAGGCCTCTGCGATCTGTGTGTGTGAGTTTAAGCCAGAAGCAACTACCATTTTCAAGAACTATAAATGCCGTTTAGCCAGAAGCAACTACCATTTTCAAGAACTATAAATGCCGTAAGACGTAAATGTTGAAATGCTTTTTGTATCCATTTTCAATTTGCTCACCTTAACCAAAATAATCCCAGAGTCTTGCCTCGAAGAAAGGGCACTTTACTCTCTTGTCCTTTAGTGACCTAACAACTCAAACCTTCCCTGCTTTTCTAATGGAATGCTAAGTCTTCAGCAAGAGGGGAAGAAATCCTCACATAACAGGCATTTACTTACTGCCCTTGTGTGTTCCACACCCTTTGGGGTCATTCAGTTGACTTGCTAAACATGATTTGCCCTATTATAATCTCAACTATAAATTTTCATTAAGACAAGCCTTGGCTGCTTGCCACCAGTCTCTGGGGGTTGGTACAGGGGAGTTCAGACTGCTGCCTGCCCTGTGAGCAAAGGGACCCGTCTTCTTTCCCATGTCTTCTCTTGGCCCAATATCCGAGGCACATGCTGCTACTAACATCTCCAACATAAATGCAAACTAAATCCGCACAGAGCCACCTTTCAAACCCTAGGCTTAGAGGTGAAGGGAAGAGGAGAACACTGATGTATACAGACTTTTCTTCTCCAGTTTAAACAGCTCTGACAGAGCACAGGTGCTTGGTGGCTTATAGAAATGACCCAACATGCCAAAAATCCCTTCAACACCAGAGTTGACAAAGTTAAGATAAACACATAATCCCTAGCGATAAAACTCAGCAATAGTAAAATAACACTCAATGTGGAGGCGTCCCCAACTTTCACATGGAACAGCTGGCATCAGGAGAAACGTCTGGAGTTAAAGCTACAAAAGGAGGGTTAGGAACGATTATTTCTCAAAGCGAGAGTGCAGGGCTGTATTCCATTACACATCCTCATCTGTCTCCCAGAGTTTTAAACTAAAAGAAATATATTGTTCTATTTACACTTTTGAACCCTGGGTAGTGTCAACGAATGAGGCCATTGCTGAGCTCCAGGCTGCAACTAAAGGGGCCTCTGAGAGCTCCCAGTCTCTCCAGATAGACTGCTACTTACTTCTCAGCCTGGTCTCTGGCATGTAGTCGGCTTTGTCGTGGACCCATTCTGGTCGGTGAGGCCGGATGTTGGCCTGGGAGGCAGCGTAAGCTACAGGGTCGTTGCTGACCCAAGCCGTCAGGTAGATGTAGAAAGCGCTGGGGTTAATGATGCCATCTGCATCCACCAGCCGCTGTTTAGTCAACTACAAAACGGGAAGAACAGAGGTCATTCAGAGCGGGCTGTGGGGTAAACACACTCCTGCTGGGAGAGCAAGGCTTTGTACCCACATTTCCAGCAAACAGTAGAATGCCGATGGCTTGACAGTGCCCCAAGTCTCACAAGAATACCTTTGATGTCTTTCAAAATGCACTTATTGGGGGCTGCAATCACCAGTGTGTTTACAGCAAACACACAGTTCTGCAGATGGCCCAGGAATCGACTGAACCAATTAAATCTGAATGCTAAAAGAGACTGTCTGCAGCCAAGGCGGGTAATGAACAATCTGGAAAAACATATTTATAGGAGGGGCAGGGGGGAAACCTGGCAAGCATCCCCATCCACGTCTGTGTGCAGTTAACCTCTGTTGTTAACACTGAAGGAAATACCACCCAGTAAATGGAGGGGAGCTATAAAATAAAACAACATCTGTATAAATTTTGCTAACACAGCCTCCGATGACCTGCCCACTGCCAGAAAGAAGACAATGATGCAAAGCCAGGGATCTTCTAAGTAATCATACTTCTGAGCCCTGATCAGATTCAGTGGCCATATCACAGTAGGTCTTGTGGGCTTTGCTTGGGTCAAAGACACTATGAGACAAGAGTGTGGGTTATAAATATGGTAGATACACCGAAAAAAAATTTCCTGTTTACTTTAGATCCAGGCCTCCTTCCAACGTTTGGTCTTTTTTAACAAAATGAAAAACACCAGTGACAGCAGTTCACAGAGAAAGAGTGGAGGAATAAAGAGTGTGGAAGAGATGGAGAGAAGTAGACGGCAGGGATCTGGATTCAATTAATCCAGGGATCTCTAGCAACTGCAGGTCCTCAGACTGTCTCTGGAATTACATAGCACAGCTCCTGGCCTCCGTGCACGCAGCACACTCTCCTTTCTCCCGGGAGAGGAAATGGCATCTTGGTGCCTAGCCCCACCACAGGCATCCCACAGACTCCCTGGTCCCTAAGTCTAATGCAGTTCTTCTCTGCTACCCTCGCAGGCAGGCTGGTCTGCGATACCCTTGTCAGACGTGACAGCCCACGGCATGCCACTCTAAAGCACCAACCGCCACACTTCACAATTGCTGGATGACGCACTTGGTGAATCTGTCACCTTTAATGCCAGCAGAAGGGAGAAGACAATACACAGAGCTGCTGAGGACATCACTGACTTGATGTTTTCTGCCTGAAGATACAGAAAGCAAACTACTAAGAGCCAAGAGGCCTAGGACTCACTCCAAATCCAGTGTGCAAAGATACCCCTGAACATGCCTGAGGAAACCAAAGGGGATATGCTAGAGTCCAAACGCTTCAAATGCATAATACTACCAAAAAAGAACAGCTCTCATTACCAAGGGCTGAACAGTGTGGGGAGGGTGGATGCTTCTGTTTGCTATAATCAGGCCACAGAAAGCTGCCTGTACTCAGCACCTACTCTTGGGACCAAGCTGGCCCCAAAGCTTTAAAAACAAATATATCCTTCCACCATCAAGTGACCTCTCTGATCTTCTAAGCCACCCACCTACCTAACCTCTGTTCAAATGACTGTTACCCAACAAATCCACTGTCCCATGTCTGGATACACCACAGTAATGAGTATTAAACTCTGAAAGCCCAGTATGAGTCACTGGGAAAAGTCTGCACTGTCAACACTGTATTTTTTGCTCACTGTGATTGTGTTAAGAGGCAACACTTGTCCTGTCACTTGACAAGAAGGGAAAGGAAAGCTTTCTGGCTAACTTGAGGTCACTACAAAGTGACCATCTCCTATCTCTTCAGATCCTCATGGGACACAAACTGGGATCACACACAGTCCAATTGACCTGGGTTAGCTGCCTAGAAGTTGTTGTACACAGAGCCCTGGCACAGTGGAAATACCTGACTGATATCGATGGGCTTGTCTCTGCTGCCAGTCTGCACCAGGAGTTTGTAGGCGAGGACCCCATCGTCCGATCCATTTTTGTAATTGTTTGGCATGATCCTCCCAGTTTCCCAGTCACTGTCAAATGCATCTTGAAGTCCTGGAAACAGGAAACATGTGCAACACATTAAAACCTGGACCAAGAGGCCTGTCCTGAGGGATTACACCGACAACAGTGGGCAGGCCGGGGGACTTAACTTTCTCTCACTTAAGAAAAGACTATACAGCACTAATCAATCTTGGCTCAGAGGGGAGAAGAAAACACACACACAATTTACCTAAACTAAGGAGCAAAAATCCAGGAGCTGGATAGCTGGCTTAGATTACTTGCTATTCTTCCAGAAAATCCGAGTTCAGATCCCAGAACCCACTTTGGAAGGCACACAACTGCCTGTAACTCAAACTCCAGAGACAATGCCTTCTTCTGGCCTCTGAGGGCGCAAGCACACACACTCACATGCACATACATAGAAAGGAACTCAGGAAGCAGAGGCAGGTGGATCTCTGTGAGTTCAAAGGCCAGCCTGGTCTATATAGTGAATCCCAGGACAGCCAGAGCTATATAGAATGATCCTGTCTAAAAAAATAAAGTAAAAAGAAAAATCAAATTGTTTTTGAGACAAGGTCTCACTATGTATCCCTGCCTGGCCTACACCTAGACCTCACTATGTAGACCAGGCTGGCCTGGAACTAACAGAAATCCACCTGTCTCTGCCTCCCCCAGCCCCAATAAAGGTGAGCTCCACCACGGCTACCTCAACTCTCCTTTTTAAAAGAACTTCCCAACTACTCTAGGGAGAAGAGAAAGACACACACTATACACCTATTAACCATTTTATGCTGCAGAGGGAGCTATGTCAGGAGTTCCTCAACAGGACCAGAAATTTCACCAAGAGAAGTAAAATCCCATTCAGGCTCCGAACTTCCAACAGCAGCTTGCCCTGGAGCCAGGGCAAGTGAACAGGACTGTCAATCTGACCCATCTGTGTGACTTGTGCAGCTAATACAAGCTATGGGATCCGCTGCCAGTTTGTGTAAAGATCGCAGCCAACACCTATTCTGTTCTCATACTCTCTGTCACCCTTCCCTCCAAGTGGAGGGGTGTGCAGAGGAAGAGCATGGGGAAATACCTCACATGGCAAATTTGGATCTGTTTGAGAACAGGAAGCCACAGGCCAATACAAGGAGGCTCTGTGAGAACAGATGACAAACCACAAGCCCTGGGGGAGGGGGGCTTTCTGGGCTTGGGGGATGGGTGAGCCCACCAGCTCACCACACACACAGCTGGGCTTGGCCCTCTGTAATCAAAACCATCATTACAGACCTGACACTTTGGCTACAGCTGTAAAGAGATAAGCATGCTGGACGAGAAAACAGGGCCCTGGTGACCCAGCCTTAGGGTCTGAGCACTGCCTGGAAGGCACTCTCCCCAACACCCCCACCAGCTCTGCTCCTCAGTTACCTCCCAAATAGATTCCCCTAAGTCCCAGGTGCTCAGCAGATCCCTATCCATGCCTGCGTTTTATTCCATCCATTTCAGGACATGACTAGGGGGACTTCAAAACAAAAACGAACTAAATAACAAAATACATGTTCTGAGAATGCTTAGCTTGGTGAGGGGTTTGGGGTTGGGGAGCAGGAGGCAGGGCTGCCCTTAAAACAAAAGCCTCCCTCCGACTGGATCACCCTTGGGCCCTGTACTTCAGGGGTTGGGGGAGGCAGGCAGAGGGACCACCAGCGTGGCAACCTCCATTCTCAGAGACTTTTTCACAGTAAGGTTTGCACCGGCAGCACTGAGCAGATGTTATTTTATGACCCAAAGCCCTGCCCCGCACCCATTCTGGAAAAAAAATAAACAGAGGAGGACAACCACTCCCCAACCCCCTACAAGGGGCCTGGTCTGTTTGCCAAGCCAGGAGAGAGGAGAGCTTTTATGACTCCAGGCCTGTGTGGCTCTAACCTTCCTCTTGGCTTAGTGCTGGGGTTGGTGAGGGGGTGGGGGAGCTACTCCAGGCAGTCCACCCTCCACAGTACTGGGTCAGTTCTAATGCTTACCTCCTAAGAAATCATTAGCATTATCATTCCCATTCTACAGATGAAAGAACTGAGACCTGGAAAGATTAAGGTCAGAGCTAAGCTTTGAACCCAGGCAGCCCAAAGCCAGACTCCACATGTATTATTCACTGTGGAAGCCCACTCTGAGAGCAGTGTGCTGTTCCGAAGAGTCGCCAAATGTGTGGATAATAACCAGTGACTTAGCCCAGCTACCAGCAGCATTTGGTGCCAAAGCAGGTAACCAAGGGCATTTGTGGAAGTGTGTTCACACAGAGAGACTTCTGCCACAGAGAAACCCTGTCTCAAAAAACCAAAAAAAAAAAAAAAAAAAAGTATTTCAGGCGTTGGTGGCACACACCTTTAATCCCAGCACTCGGGAGGCAGAGGCAGGCGGATCTCTGTGAGTTTGAGACCAGCTTCCTGTACAAGAAACCTCTGCATTATCTAGGGAAGGCAAAGATCAGAGCTGCGAGGTCTGCCCTGCAGCCAATTCAGAACACATTTCCGACAACGCTGGCCCCGAATGCTGGCTACAGTTACTGACTTTATGAGTAGTTGAGTTCTTTCACAACTAGTTCAGTTATTTTTGACTAACTACTGAAAATCTCAACTACCATGGGCTGGACAGCAAGCACTTGTCCCCTGGCTGACATGTACATTCCAACAGTTTATAGGGAAACCTTACATTTCAGCTGCAGTGCTGGACAGCAAGCACTTGTCCCCTGGCTGACATGTACATTCCAACAGTTATAGCAAAACCTTACATTTCAGCTGCAGCTCCTCTTACTAGAAACATTTTACACAGAAAATTATTAGTCTACGCTACAGGAGTTACCCAAATATACAAACCCCTGGAAGTGAAATGATAATCTACTTCGTTTGTGTAACTCGGTATGAATTAAAAACAAATGCCACCTGCACGCGATGCAGTTACATGTCACCTCTAGCTTTACCTCCTTTCTGTGCATGTTCACAGATGTCCTAGGAGAGCTGGGGTATATCTCAAAGGTAGAGTGTTGTCCTGGCTTCTACCTCAGGACTGACTTTTTCAAAATGGCGTGTGTTTTAGGAATGAAAAAAACAAAGTGGAGTGGTAACCAGTGAGATGGCATAGCAGAGAAGACTTCAACACTACACACAAGTATCCGGAAGGGATGACGATGCAAGAACTGCTTCATCCAAAGAGATGTTCAGGAACCCAGCAACCACTCAGCAGGCCTGAAAAATGCCTCAGGAGCGAAGAGCACTGGTGTCTGTGAACAGTGCTCTGGGCACCCACCAATGCATCACAGCTCCACGGCTTTGGGGGATTCTGACATCTTAGCATGCACTGACCTAACAGTTTGGCTGGGTACTGCTTGCTCAGCAATCAAAGGAGCTCCTCCCCCACCCCCCGCCTCCACTCCGCACAGCAGACCTCTTTGTCATTTGTGGCAAGTTATTTGCATGTCTTTGGTCAATGTGTGTGTGTTGGGCTGGGGTGGGGGTGGGGGTGGGGGTGAAAAACAGAGACTGGCAACTGTTTGGCTCTTTGTTAATTCACTACTTAAAAAATAATGCATTGAGAACCGAGTGTAGAGAGTAAAACTTGGGGTGATCTCCTGGGCTGTAACAATAAAATTATAAATAAAATTATACTTTCTCCCCCTCCCCAAACAAAGTTGGACCTGGCACACATGTATGAGCAAATTCTAAACACTGCTCCACACCAATTCCCATCAAATCAAGCTGTTTGCCACCTAATGCAGACTCATAGGGAAACTGGATGCCTGATCTTTACATGCAAGAGTACTGACTTAAGACAAAAAAGGCAAAAAAAAGGCAAAAAAAAAAAAAAAGACAAAAAGACACTTAAATATGTGTTTAAATAAGCCTAATTAAGTGGGGAATTAAGACAGCCACTGGGATAATCTAAGCCAACAAATGCTGAAGTTGTAATTATTTGGGGTGCTCCAATAAAAGCAATTTTGTTTGAATTGTGGGGATAATGGTCTTGATTGTCTACTGTGCTTTCCGTGTGTCAACATTAACAGATGTTCTGGGAACCACTGAATACACATGTTTATATTCTCAGTCAGTCACCAGTTACGAGCAAAATTTAGCCCATTTTACATTTTTCTCCAGCTGACTAATAATACTTCCTAGAGATGTGTCTAAGGGTAAAAGGCGCTTGTACCAAACTTGAGGACCTGAGTTCCATGCCCAGGACCCACATGGTGGAAACGGGAAAGCTACCTTCTGGCCTCAGTATGCACATCGCGGTATGCACCTGGACACCCTCACACAGAAATCAATAGGTAAAATGGGAACAGGGGAGACGCAGGCTTTGCCCCTTCATGAGACAGCAGGATATGGGTAAGCATTTCTAAGATTGTCACCAAATGGAAGGACTGTTGAAACCTATGAAGCTCTTTGGAAGATAATGGTGTCAAAGGTCAATGTGAACAGTGATGCATGCGTGCACGCACACACACACACACACACACACACACACACACACACACACACCAATTTAGTGTCAGGATGTTGACACACGGGGAAGGAAGGCCTGGGTGAGAGTGAGCAATTTCTTCACCTTCCACTCAAATTTGCTATGAATCCAAAGTATATGAATAAGAATCTAAAAGATGTTCAAAATATGCAATGGCTGACCCCAAATCCACTGTTTACAGCAGGCTATAATTTAGTAGACAGCTCAGAAATCCCACCAAAGACTCCAATTTCACTTGGTGGCCAAACTAGCTATCATCCAAAAAGAAGAGAGCAAATAAACCCTCCAGGTTCCCAATTTTCTACTATCTTTCCCCAACGTGTGTTTACAAATGTGTTAACAGAAGGCTCTTGCTCATACAGTTGCAAGTTTTTTTAAGCCAGAGCTGGGAAACTGCCACAGAAATGGGCTTTCTACAAATCAGGCTGCAGAGACAGAAGCACCCAGAAGTTAAGATCACTTGTTGCTCTTACAGAGGACCTGGGCTTGGTTCCCAGCACCCACAACTCCTGTTCCAAGGTCTCCAATACCGTCTTCTGACCTCAGGGACCAGAGAAACACATGATACACATACACACACACAGAGAGAGAAGTTAAAGCTGCTCCATTATGATGGAACACTTTCACATGCTGGGCAGGAGGGAATCACTACGGGTGAGACGGGAGTGTGATTGGAGGGCAGCAGCCTGCCGCAGGCCCTACCTTGGAGCCAGTCTCTGAAGTAGTGCAGCCACATCTGGGGAAGTTGCTTGTTCTCTTCCAGCATGACATACTTCACATTACTGAAACTCTTATGAAGGTCATAAAGCAGGTGCTGGATATTTGGGTAGTCTGCTTTCTGGGTGACTATATACATGTTGTAGAAAGAAAAGTACTTGAACTGTGCAGCAATGAAGTCATATTCTCTGGTTTCCCGGGGAACAATGTCCGTGAGGTCTAGCCCGTCTCTGACACGTGTGGTCCCATAAAGGCTGACCCCCAGCAAGCCCAGGAAAAGGAGGATTACTACAACCTGCAACAGAGAGAAGGGCACGGGATGACAACCCTGATTCCTCCAGTAACAGCACCAACTGCTTCCTTTACCCCTTTTTGCATCAACAGCCCAGACTTAGCATGGCAAGCCAGGGGTCAGTCTCCCAGAGGGAAAAACATAAACCATGCCAAACTGCCTTTTTAAGCAATCTCACAAAGAATAAAAATGTATATAAAGTGAGGCCCTCATTTATATTCACAGTAATGTCTGTTACATGGAGCCTCCCCAGGTAGGACTATGCTCACTGAAGTGGCCCTTAGAATTTGTAGTCTGACTCTGGGGTGCCTGTCCTGAACAGCATACACCCATGATGAAGGCACCCACAGGTGCCAACGGTTCACATATTTTTCAAGGCAGGAGGCCATACACGGCAGAACGTTACCTTGGCTTTGGGTTTCAAGAGGAAGGGAGCATAGTGCTTCTCTGCAAACGAAGAGAGTGTCCACTTGGTGCAGGGGGGCTCGAGACAGTGAAGGCTGGAGTCTGAGAACTGGGAAAGCAGGTCCCTGGTGGAGCTGGTGCTCTCAGGGCTCTGACAGCTGAGGGTGTCCTGGGTGACGGTGACTGGCTGTACAGAGATCTCGGATCTTGGCTCGGCGGTGGTGTAGTACACATGCGTATGAGGGTCGTACTCTGTGCGGAGCTGAACAGTGGACTGCATGGTGATGTGTGTTTCGTGGGCGAAGCTATGGCTGCTGTAGGGGGGTGGGGGGCTGTAACGGGTGTTACTGTGAGGCTCTGTGTAGGCCTGTGGTTCAACCTGAATCACCCTGCTGACACAGGGACTGAAAGACAAAAGAGAGAAGCGCATTGCAGTGTGTGGCCATGACAGAGAGAGCGGGCTTTCATTTCAGGCTTTCACTTCTACTGAGGACTGATGCTATCCACTGACATCACTGGCTTGGGAGAGGAGCGTGTACTGTTTCTATGCAACCATCACCTGACTGTTCAGGACACAGATGTGATCAAGTCGAAGCCAAAGGCATGGCTATTGATCCTGAAATGATAAGCCCCCCCCCACCCCCAAGCACAACTCCAAAGAACTTAAAAAACCAAACAAACAAAAAATCTAGAAACAAAATCCACCACCCTGTGTTTCTAAACAGGTGGTTTTCAGCATCCCTCTGCTCCAAAAGGCTACCAAACAGTCCTGAACAAACACAGTTCATGATAACAGAAAAGACCACGTGCAGCAGAATCTCTAGGGGAGGTTTCGGGGCATATTCAGTTGGGGGAGGGTGAAGTGTGGGAGCTCACATGTGCCTAATACCCTTCCCTGCCCCCATCACACCAGCCCAAACCCTGTTAGCTACATTTCCTTCAGAAGAAGCCCAGAGACTGGAAGCGTTCTCTAAACAGTCTTTCTGTATGCCCAATAAAGGCCCCAGGACCCTGAAAAACACACCTTGTGAAACAGCAGAAAATATCCAATCTTCTGTCTTCTCGTCTATATAAATCCATACTGAGAATCGCAGGAAAAATGAGCAGCACCATCGCAAAATTGAACACCACTACTACCGCAGCCTGGAGCAGAAAAACAATGGATGCAATCAACACCACTCCTAGTCATTAGCAAATTTTATGTGTGTGTTTGCCTGAGAGTACGGGCACCATGTACATGCAGTGCCCCCAGAGGCCAGAGAGGGTGACAGATCCCCGGGACCAGAGTTACAAACAGTCCTGAGTTGAGATGTGGGTACTGGGAAGAGAACCTGGGTGCCCTGATAGAGCAGGCGGTGCTCTTAACCACTGGGCCATCTCCCCAGTAGCCCACTCAAAGATATTTCAGACACTCCTCTCTCAACAACCTTCTGCTTCCTAGAGAAGCAGAGCCAGCAGACAGCCGAGTATCTCCCTCTTCTCATTCCACCATTAAGAGGCTGTGTGTCAATGAAATGGAAGAACCCCAGAAGTTATACAGGTTGGAGAGAAACCACTGCTTACTTACTAACCTAACCAGATCCCCATCTACAAAGCCAGGCAAAGAAAAGACTTGAGATATTTTACTTCAAAACCAAAAAAAGAAACATTTTTCCCTTCTAGGACATTTCTAAGAGTTCCCACAACCCTGATTAATAATCTGTATATAAAAAGTAGATCAAGTCTATCAATGTGCCACCTTTAAAACATGAAATAAAATTTCACACATGTCCCCTGAGGTTTTTAATAGGCACAATCCAAACAGCCTCAGGAGCAGCTTGTGGGGTGTGCTAGTGAGTAACAGCCAAGGTCAAGGAGAGTTAAGCAGAAAGAAATTCCTGTGTGTGATTATAGTCTGTAGAATAAGTAAGCATGGATTCAAAAGCCACTCTATAACCTAGAATAAACACAGGGTTAGGTTTTGCAGCACCCGGGCAAATCTCCTGCTGACACAGTAAAAATTGCAAAATTGGGCTGTTATTAGGCAAAACCGACAGGACATCTAAGGGCAGCAGGCCTGTTCTGAGAAGTGGACAAGAAGCAGACAAGAAAAATGGAAGGGGAATGCTAAATAGCCAAGAAATAATCAGAAATTTGTTTAAAAAGCAAAACCTTCTGGTAGAGCTTTCAAAGGACAGTTTCTGTGACCTCAAAATGGGGAGATGGATGGGGAGTATGGGGTGCGGGGGGAAGAAGAGACCTGGCTATTGCTGGTACCAAGAACTAAAAACCAAGAGATTCTTCACAAAGGGCTTTTTGAAGGGACTATGGTTTATGCTCCAGGTGAAACAGCAAGCTTGCAGAGGTGTCCTTTAATAAAGAGTTCCCCGTTAAGTCTACTGAGCCATAAAATGGGCAATTCTCTCCTGAGATGATTTTTAAAAGGACTTCATCAATTCCAACAGAACAGGTTAGCTACAGCTCAAATGCACACGCAGGACTCTGAAGGCTTCCTCAAGAAGCAGCCCATGTGTGTGACAAGTTCCCTGCCACTACTATGACTGGACACACTCTCTAGGAGATACCTCCCTTGTCTTTAAAAGTCTAGTCTGTGCTGGATGCTGGAGAAGCAAAGAGACCTAAGGTAAGACTTCCCGTGGAGATCAAATAAATCACCCCCAAGGCTGTTCCTTTTTAAAAAGCAGGTCCCCAGCAGCTCAGGGGGGTGAGAGCTTCTGGATTGGGGGTGGACAGAAAGAGTGACTGATCCAGGAAGGCTTCCTGAGAAGGATTCAGAAGATGAAAATAGGGTCCAGGGGGAACACGGAAGAGACAAGATGCTTGATTCAAGCTACTCAAGTTCTAAGACAGGTGATGGGGGGTGGGGGTGGGGGCGCCAGGCTGTCAGTATGCACCAACCGCATTCCCACAGTATCTAGGATGTGGACAGTTTGCCTCAGACAGAACAGATTACCTACAAAGCCTGAGGCTTCCCAGCCAATCAGATTCAAATGGAGATTTGATGTAAAGTCCTCGTCCTAACCCGTTTGGATGCTCTTGCTGCCACCCGTGGGGATGGTGACTTCCTGAAACAGCATACTCATACTAGGTGTGGACTGCTGACCAATTAGATTCAGGGAATGCTGGGAAAAGTAAGACTCTAGGAGATTTTCCATGAAATCAGTCATGCTGGGGCTGAATCCTATTAGCCTTTTTAATTCCAGTCATGTTTACAGCTCAGGAGTGGGATGCAGAGATAAGCCCTAGGCATCGCTCAAGGGTGAGGGCAGAGACCCTGAGCCACTAAGCCCACAAGCACACAGACAGCAGGTGCTGCCCCAGCAACAAGCATCAAAAAGCCTGACGGGCAGCTGTCTTTGCTCACTCTCAGATGGCAGTAGAAGGGTTAGAGCCCACAGCAATGTACCTCCTAACCTCTTTTTTTGATGGCATGTTACATATTTAGGGGGGAACCATTTCCTGCAATGAAAATGAATGCTGACACCCCCCCACACACACACACACCATGGGTATCAAAACCTTAAAAGTGACTAGCAAGGATTTCTCAAGGCAGACTGGCCTCTGCAAAGGAAGATGGAAAGCTTCAAACAACAAAAAGGAATTCTTAGTCATAGAGTCTAAGTCAGGGAATGATCTTGGCTGTAGATTGAATCCAGTTACTCTGCTTAGAGAAGCGGTCCCTACCCACAAAGAATCTATAGTGCCCCACCACAGACACCTGTGGCCGGACCCTAACCTAAAACCTGTCACTGGCATGGGGGGAGATCAGTGGTAGACTACTTCTTTGCGGGGTCCTGGGTTCACAAATGAAAGGGGTGTGTGTGTGGGGGGGGAGGATAGGGAGAATGCCCAGTAGGTAAGAGCAGTCACTCTGAAAACCTGAGGGTGTGATTTCAAATTCTGCTGTGTAACAGCTTCCTCCAGAACAGAGGTACATTCTATCCTGCTGGAAGCTCTTGAAACAGGAAGGTAAACAATTCAAAACAGCTCCAGGAAGTCCCTGAAACTGATCAGATTCACTAGGCCCTTCCCTGCCAGAGTAATCAGAGCCAAGCTACAAAGAAGGCTTTCAGACAACTGTGCTGCAAAGAACACTCAAGAGACCAAACCAGCTGTCTGGAAGAGGTTTAGAGCAGGAGTCACCTGGAAAGGACACCCTCCAACCTGTTGAGCTGCCTGCAGGCTGTGCAGTGTGCTCCAGGTTCCTAGCTTTGTGAGCTGTCTGTCACCCATGCTGAGGTAGGCTTTGGTGACACAGCTGCCTTTGAGTCATTTCTGTCCTGTAAGTACTTTGGTCTGTCATAGGTTCCCTATGTGGTATGAGTAGACATGTGTGTTGCAACTCCCCACACAACCAATTCCCAGTATCTACATAAAACGATGAATACTGCTTCTGCTGCCTGTCATCCCAGAATTGGGGTAGAGCTTACTGGCCATCCAGCCCTAATGGCTGATAAGCTTTGGGTTCAGCAAGAGACTCTCTCTCAAGTCAGACAGTGAAGGAGGAAGACACCTAATGTCCTGCTCTGGCATCTGTACATACATATGTGAACATACACCCATACACTGACACAGTCTCAGTCTCTTTCTCTCTCTCAGACACGAAAGAGAGAGAGACACACACAGAGAGACAGAGAGAGAGAGAGAGGAGGGGACAAAGTAATAAACATTTAAAGCAAACCTTTATTATTAGAATGAGTAAGGGTCTTGGTCTGGGGATTTTCACTGAGGAACAGACACCACAGTGAAGGCTGATCAGGAGACAATCTATTTCTTTGAGAGAAGGAACGCTACTATTTAGTCAGGGCCAAAAAAAAAAAAAAAAGAAAAAAGAAAAAGAAAAAGAAAATAAAAAACTCATCTAAGTTTCACAAGGAAAAAAATTCAAACGTCACACTGGTTTATTATGGCACAGAACCTCTCCGGATGCTGTTGGTGGCCACAGATGACAGACACACAAAATGCAAAGTACTCATTTTGTCCCTGTAAGGTACTTGCTTACCTTGGGAGAACTTAGCGCACTGGATTTTCTAAAAGGCTTTTCTATCCTCCAGGAGAGCCCACACCATGGGGTGTCATTAAGGGAGGAGAGTTTGCCTTGATGAACCACCAGTACTGAGAGGAGAGGAGAGCAGAGAGTGAGGGAGAGGAAAGGAGCGAGCGAGCGAGCTGACACAGAGCCGAGCAGGAGTTGCACAGCGAGGGGACAGGCAATGGAAGAGAGCATGGACAGAGGGCCCCTTATTAAAAGACTCCAGCACCATCATCTCCATTCCAGAGTTAGCTGCACACAAGGAGCAAGAGCAGACACAAGAAGAGCGTGCAGGGGATGCATGCCCGTGCAAAACAGCTTCCTGAAACGTCAGCTACCATCAAGGCCACAGGCATCTTTTCTCTTATCTTTCCTATTACAAACCCTTGGTTATCTTCATTCTCTTATGTCTCTGTTTCAGACTTGACTTCATTCAGTAACCATTTCCATAGAATGTTTATAACAACAAGCCTCTTTCTGGTATCTTTTTTTTTTTTCAGGAGTAGGTGCTTGTGACTGACAAGAGATGTTCTTCTCACAGTCTCAGATCTTTCACTGTTTTAAGGAGGCCTGGCACCTCAGGCATAGAAGCACCCACCTCACCCACAGTAGGGCCTCTACTGGTAGGGGATGACGCTCTAACATCTAGGGGACTGTTTCTACTTAGGTGACAAACATGTAGTCACCTTCTCTTCCTGGTCATAGTTCTTAGCACCTGTTGACGAATGGAGAGCATGAAGGAATGCAATAACTAACAATAGTTTCACACAAATACATCAAAGTGGCTTCTTTCAGGTAGCTGGCCACCTCGTGAGTTGTACATCCTCCTCTAAGAAAAAGAGAGACGCGTGCTCCCTCCAGCTGAGGCTTTAAAAAACTTCCACCATGTCATGAAGCACCCACCTTAAAGCCCGCTGCTCTGACGGTTTCAGGTTTCCTATGAACTGCTATGACTACCAAGTATGGCTCACAGCTGTTCCTCTTACACCCAGGAATTGATAGCCTGGGTATGAGAAGACCTGGCTGAGAGGGGCTGTCAGAGTTTTGAGGCCAGCAACACAGCCTTTGCACACAGTGAGTGGCAGCAGGCACTCTAAGATTGCTTAAGCAGCCTAAGAAGGGAGTCGGGAACCAATGAGGACAGGGATAGAATGCAGAGGCCAACAAAGAAAAAGGCAGGGGACACAAGGATTCCCCCAGAGATGCCCCTTGCAGGATATAGCCAAGTGGCCAACACACCTTCATACAGTGTGACCGTCACTGCCTGCCCCAGGGTTTCGACACCCTATCTGCCCAAACCAGTACAATCTTCTATGGCCTTGATGTGGGGCTGTTTAGGGAAGGGAAGTAGTCTTGAAACAGGAGCCAGCCAAGGAGGACTTCAAGGCACATCCCTGGGCCTGCTGACCTAAACTACACAGTATAATTCCACAAGCGAACAGCTCCTGGAGAACAAGGTCTAAGGAAGCAAAGAGTCCTGGCACCTATTTTGGAAGGAGTGCCAGCTCATGCTTTGAAGCACCTACCCTCCAACAGCACCAAGACCCAAATGCTGCTGGCATGCACTTGATTTGTAAAATAAGTGCTGGACTAAAATAAAGCAGAGAGGAGGAGCTGAATAGCCAAGCCACGGGGACCTGTGCACTGTAACTCACCTGGAGGGAGAATGCTCGAAGTGCAGGTATCGGGATTAATGCGGCCATGAAGAAGGCAGTAACATTGCTGATGGAGGTGAGGGCCACGCTGGCTCCTGTGCGCTTGAGGCACTCCCCGGTCCTGTCCTGAGGAAGACAAACCACAGTGCTGAGGGCTGAGGCCTACACTAGCCACCCCTTAAAGTACGCTGTGGCAATTTCTAGTACTGGTTGTACTGTGTCTAAGGAATGAGAAAAAGCCACAACCAACTTGACCCCAGTACCAGGACCTGGTGATTTCTCCCTCATGGTCATGTGTTCCTCATGGTTACCATCACCCAAATCACAAAGCCCAACAAAGATGATGACGACTTAAATGCCAACTCATAGGCAAAGAAAACACAGAAGCAAACTTGGACTTTGGGAAAGGATGGCACAGGAGCATGAGGTACAGTGCTAAGACACCCACATTCCCATGGGCACCCTAAACAGGGAGCGTGGCATTTTCTCACAGTGATGTGTCATTTGACCTGAGACTGACCAGATGGTGGAAAAACTATGGGGAAAAAAAAAAAAACAAAAAACCTAAGGAAGAGAGCAGGCTTTGAGTGCCCCCAAAACTTCCTTCTTTTCTCCTACTGTTACCTCAAATGGAATCCTTTTATTTTGTCCTGTTTCACTGAATGCATGTGCCAGGAGGAAGACGTCATCCACACCAACACCAAGAGCAAGAAATGGCAAAACCTACAGCAAACACAGGCAACCGCAGCATTAGGCAGGTAAATCTCACAGGGAAACATGGCTACCAGTGCCCCAGGGGTGCCAAAGGGGAGCTTATGCCAGTTGGGGGTGAGGGAGCAATGTACTTATCCAATAGTTTGCATCCCTAAAATCTTTCATTTATAACTTAGAGATGTTCTCACAAGCCTCTAAGATCCAGGCACGAGAACTTATTTTAGAATTAAAAGTGAAACGCCTGCTATATCTAAAGTTACAGTTCCCAGAGATCCCTATACCCAGCATCAGTGAGAAACGCTCAAATTATAAGATGGTGCTCCCACAAAGACTGGGCCTAGTCATCTTTGTTTTCTCAGTGTGATTCTAATGCCTACTGGAGTTCTGGGAACCAGTGAATGACATAAATGATTCTAAGTGAATGTCTCTAGCTACCAAGAGCATCTCTGGACGCCCCCCCCCCAAAAAAAAACCCCACAAGGTTATTAACATGTGTTCGTGTATATGCACATGAAGTGTGTGTGGACATGTGTACCACAGCCTACTGTATGCAGGTCAAAGGACAATCTTGTGGCCTGTTCTCTCTTTCCACCTTTCATGTAGGCTCTACAGATTGAGCTCAGATGGCCAGGTTTGCCTGGCTTTGCTCTCTCAGCCATTCCACCAGCTCTCTAGGCTTTTAACCCACAGAACACACTGACCCACTGAGCCAGACCTCCCACAAGAGAAAGGGCATCCTCATAGAAAAGGCTTTAAAGACTCTTCAGGTGAGATAGACACACAGGGATGGGAAAAGTGTTGGCCAGAGGGCAGCAATGAGTGGCCCTGTAGTACCTGAGTTGTCGCAGCATTAAAGGAAATCCCGATCAAGGAGCAGAGGCCTAATCCTGCAGCCACTGACAGTGCAACCAACAGGACACCAGCCAGCCCCACGGCACCCTGGGACTTGGAGCAGTCCCAGCGCAGCATGGTTAAACAGGCATAGGCAAGCTGCAAGCAGAACAATTTTGGGGGGGGGGGACAAAGGGGAATCAGAGAGAGAAGGTGGGGGAAAGACACAAAACAAGAGCCAAACATTAGAATGTATAGTTGATTCTAATGTTTCCCCCACCCATTGCCCCACATCCAAAGGTAAGAACCTATTAACTCCAAAACAACGAAATTTTACACTATCCAACATCAGACAACAGGGGAGGGGACCACTTCTGAAATCCTTACAAGGCTGAACTGTCTCTGTCTTGGGTGTACTCGGATGTTAGGGGCAGTTAAAAAAGCAGGTGCCATCACAGGAAAAAAAAAACTAAAATTAGGAAACAAACCCAAACCAAGCTGACCACCCCAACCTGTGGGAGCCCAGAATTACCATCAGTAGGTAGCCACTTGCCACTCGGATGACACTGACATCGGAGAAGGATTTTAGGATGTCGTCCAGGGTGGTGGTGGTGAAGGAAAGCACCTTCTGGGTGGAGTTCGGGGCAACGCTTTGATGAACGACCTGTGGTCACAAGACAACACTAAATCCCCCAAAGGAACTAAAGCATCAATATGCTTCATCACCATAGGCCTGGGGAAACCCACCATGCATCCACACTGCTTGCTGGCACATCAACACAAGGTCCCATGTGACTCAAGTGGTCAGAGGATGAGGGAAGAGAAACCTCCCTCTATCAGTGAGGGTTACTGTGCTCACAGGAGAGCGAACAGGCAACCAACCAGTGGTCACCTGAGTTTACTACTTTTGTATCTCTTAAGATACTTTCCCGCCACAGCCAGACTGTTCCCTCTTAATCCAAAACAACTCATTCTTATAAATTCCACCTCCCCCACCCCCCCACTTCATTTGCTGGCCATTTTCAAAAGGTCACAGGCAACTCCACAGAGGTCACTGCTTGGGAAACAAAGGCCAGCCTCCTGTCACGTGACCTGACCAAGGGGCCTGCAGCTGTGAATAGATTCTGCCCTGCTAATGTTTTCCAGACACCTTTTCTTATTCACCCAGTGAGTGGTTTTGTGTGTGTGTGTGTGTGTGTGTGTGTGTGTGTGTGTGTGTGTGTGTGTGTGTTTCCTTTTTACACAGCTATGTCTGGGCTCTGCAGTCTACAATAGTTACTAGGCATGTTTCAAGGCATCCCCACTAAGAAGCAGTGTCTGTCTCTTCAGACACCACTCTCAAGTCTTAACAATGGCCGAATAAAGAAAATCCAAGCTTGCATCTCATGCAATGTTAAGAGTTACAAGTATTGAAATAGAATCCAAGGGGAGGCTGGGTGCAGTGGTGTCACGCCAACAGTCAGGAGACCGAGGCAGGAGGATAGCAGGCATGAGACCGCCTGATCTGTACAGTGATACTCAACACAAAGAAAACCTAACGGGAAGCAAAGTTTTCAATGAGGAAAGGAAGACTGGACTAAGTTACAAGTCGTCTCTGATGTCAAGGCAGGGCTCACCTCCACATATGTCCTCTGCCAAGCCTCCAGGATGGCTGCTGCCCTATCCTCATTCCAGTTGATATGAGAGACGTACTCATAGCCTCTGAAGTGCTCGTACATTTGCTTGGGAGTCATTAACTGGAACATGGTCTGCAGAGCGCGAGCACTGTGTCAGGGTAAATAGATAGAAGGCAGGTCAGCACCGCCAGCAAGCAGTGTGTGCCACATGATGTCCCAAGTGAGCACCCCCAGCTCTCCCTCAGACTTCTTCCCTCCTCTGTGTGCACATGTTTCCATTCAAATGAGACCAGGATGGTTATTATATTTAATAGATTGATGTACCATATTAAAGGTGTAACCTTACAAGCCTTTTACAGATAGACCCCCAAAATTAAATTAATAGGCAATTTCCTTTCTCAGTTCCTATTCCATGAAACAGGAAGGAGAGGGGAGTAGATAGCTTGACCAGATACACAGGGCTCAGCCACACACTCTCTCTGTGCAGAAATCCCAGAGACAGTGTCCCAAGGGAAAAACCTCAGCCCAAACACCTGACACTTGACTGACTGGAGTCCCTGACTGCACAAAGGCTATAACTCTTGCATTGCCTGTAGTTCCTGGTCTTTGAATCTTAAGAGCACATGGCACTGATCAGCTCCCACCGTTCAAATCCACACTATGACTGGATTTTTTTACTCTCTTAGTCTACATAAAGGGCAGACCTTTCAAAACCCTGAAATCAACAACTACAGCTCTGATGAAAACTACAAATCCATTCTAGGAAACTTCCCCACAAGATTTCTTTGCAAGCTGCTCTGAAGTGCTAATGTTCCCCAAGATTCAATGACACTGGACAGCCAGCTAGGATTAATGTGAGTCCAAATGTCTGTGCACAAGAAAAGAGGCACAGGGTGGTATGTGGTACTGTGTTGGATTACCTGACCAGTTTTCCAGTGGCATTCTTGACTGTGCCACCCACAATCAACTCCTCCTGCCAATGCATATACTTCCTGGATAAACCTTGACATCCACCATTCAAAACAAGGGCCACATCAAGAGGCTGCAATGAAAAGACAGCCACATAATTACGGGAATTAGTAGGCAGGTCACATGCCTCGTTAAAATCCAGTGCGTTAAGGGCTTGTTTGTTTCAGAGAAAACATTAATAACAAGGCTAATGAGGGTTATGCTAAATCTTACAGCAAAACTTAGTTCTGTAAACAACCTTAGTTCCATGCACCAAATTAAAAAAAGAGACAAAACTCATGGCCAAGGAAATCTTTAAGATAAAAATAATAAAAGAGAGCTGTAAATGAAACAGACAGGGCTGCCTCCCCCCCCCCCCCGCACACCCTG